CGGTGTGTTTCTCGCCTTCTTTATCTATATGCACTGCCATACTCCCAGGAGGATTTTCACTTGCTCACAAGACTGTATGGAGCACATACCCACATACATGGAGAGTCCAATAGAAGAGTGAGGATATCAGGATAAAGGGAAACTGAGAGGAGAAACACAGAGATAAAGCCAGGGCTTGTGAATGAATACACAGAAAGAAAACCCTGAAACTATTTGAAATGGACCACTAACTTGGCTCCAAGCAGCCAGGACGAAGAGAGAGCCATGATCCTTCTCCCAATTTAAACCGTTAACTCAAGGCTCGTCAGGAGGACCACAGCAAACCCTGGCAGGAAGAGCTCCCTATCCCAGTCTGCACACAGAGCAGATAACCTGACGTGTAGTGAACAAAGTCCTCAATCACGCCCAAGTGGCCGGGAGGCGTCCTGATTCTCTCTCAGCTACACGGAAAGGCCCACAGTGCAGGCCTCCTCAAATCCCAGTATCAGCAATTCTTCCAGGATGTTGCAATAGTTTGAAGTAAGCATGCGCCACTTTTAGATTCAGGAAATAATTTAGAAAAATAAATGTTTTTAATTAAAGAAACAATATAGCAAGCAGTAGCCATTGCAGCCTGGTGTTCACTTGGATACGGACCCTCAGCTCCAAGAGAAGGCTCTGCCGAGTCTTGCTGTTTTTGTGAGACTGAAGCGTGAGTATCGGGGGAGAGACAAGGCAAAGACAGGCTATTCGGAGACCTGGTCAAGGAATTTGTACCACTTAGATGGTGAAGCTCCAGGTGTTCACTCTAAAAAGCACAGGTGAGGCGTGGCCAGTGTGACTCAGTTGGTCGAGCATCTTCCCATGCAGCAAGAAATTGCTGGTTCAATTCCTAGTCAGGGCACATGCTCAGTTAGGAGCTCAATCCCCAGTGGGAGAACATGCAGGAGGCAGATGACGGATGGTTCTCGTTCTCTCTCTCTCTCTCTCTCCCCCCACCTTCCTCTCTCTAAAATCCATGAAAATGCATATTTTAAGTCAATATCTTAAATAAATAAAAAGTACTGATGGATGGAGATGCTCATTAGTCATTTTGCACATTGAACTCGAGTTTATCATTATAAATAATTTGCACCCTCATCACTTGCTCCATACTTTATGCCCAGTGCCTAGAACAGTGTCTGGTGAGAAACAAGTCCTTACTGAATAAACTATGCACTCCCCGGAGATGCCGGACAAAAGGGGGGTCTACAGATATGCTGAGGTTGTCCTGTCAATTCCTTCCCCAGCTGGGCCTTACCCACAATGGCCCAGCATTGAGACTTTCTCACCGGTGACCATGAAACAGGTGAAAAAAAGGCCCAGATGAGAAGGCTAAACCCCTCAGCCATGCATCAAGAAACACAAATTAAAAATTTAAAAGGGAGCCCAGCCCATGTTGCTCAGTGGATGGAGCATCATCCCACGCACCAAGAGGTCACCGGTTCGATTCCGGGTCAGGTCACATGCCTTGGTTGCAGGCTCAGTCTCCAGTAGGGGACGTGCAGGAGGCAAACAATCAATGTTTCTATCTCTCCCTTCTCCTTTCTCTCTAAAAAAATAAAAATAAAGTAAAATAATAAAAAATAAATAAATAAAATAAAAACGAATCTTTTTTTTTAATTGAAAAGGGAAACTGAACAGCCGGTGTCTAGTCTTGCTTTTAGTCCTGTTGTTGGAAGGATAACGTGCAGACAGCTCAAGACAAACACAGCCTGCTTTCCGAATGGGCAGAGCTGCTTTCTCGGTGCACTGAGGCTTCCGTGTGCATTTCTTTGCTCACAGCAAGGACATGCCTGTCCCAGAGGGCAGGCCTCCTCTGGACTGAGGTACCAGCTTTTGGTGCGGAGACCTGCTCGCTCTCAGGGCACCAGAGCAGCCTGGACAGGGTTTTCTCCAAGGAGACCTTCGGAGAGCAGCTGGCTTCCCGGGCAAGGAGGCCTGGGCAGCCTGTGCATGGCCACGCAAATGTGCACAGAACCCGGCCAAGTAGCCTTAGGACCTAATTGGCTCGGAGACAGGAAAGTCAAAATGTCACAGCCAAAGCGACAGCTGGCAGTGGCTTAGAGAAGAAGAGGCATTATCTTCCACTCGGAAGTAATGACACAGAAAGGGCACCGCACCGGGCATCTGAGGCCTGCGCCCACCGGCCGGGAGGCTGGTGTTCTTGGCAGGTCGCTGCCTGCCCTGTGCCTTGCTTTCCTCCACTATAAAATGGAAATAAACTCACTGCTAGGCCTGGCTTGCTTGCTTCCTTGTAATAAACCTGTACAACACCAGCAAACGGGAGACACAAAAGCTAGGACAAGGTCCTTACCCTTCAATCTGATCCTAACGTACTGGGTCTCGCGTTTGCCCAGCTCACAAGTCGCTCCTGCGGCTGCCAGTGGTAGTATCCAGGTGAATGCTGGGTGTGCTTGGCTTGTGATCCCCCTTCTACAATGTCCCCCACACCTGCCTTCCTGCCTCCATGGGTTTGTGTCAGATCAGGCCTTGCTTCTCTCCAGCTCCATCCTCTAAGTCCAGTCACAGTGCCAGGAGCTCATCATCCCAACTGACCCCCCACCTCTGAGCTCCTGCCTCCCCAATTCTGTCTCCATTTGTCCACTAGCTCTCTCTGCACAACCATCAACCAAGGTACCCTTCCCTCAAAATCTCCTTTCCTTCAAAATTCCATCCAAAGTCTTCTGCTTGGCATGTGAAGCATGGACAAGCTGTCCCAGCCCACCTCCCAGGCTCACTTCCCTTAGGGGGCCTTTGTGTTTGCAGCCCATGGGCCTCCTTCCACCAGTGCAGCCCTCTTCCCTGCTTCTGAGCTCCTCCTCTCTGCTTTGAGGTTCAAGATCCTGACTCAAATTTCAAAGCTCAGCTCAAATGCTCTCTGTTTTATTCGGGATTCTCAGGTATTCTCAGCTTCAGGCCCACTAGGCGGTCCCTTCTTGTTTTCAAGCTCATGTACATTTTTATTTTCCTATCACAGTGTGTGCTCCGTGCATCTTGAAGTGGAAGTTTCAGCCCAAAGGTTTCCCTCCCTGTGATGGCCTTCGTGATCTTCCCAATTCTCCATACTCGGCTCCCCCACCCAACACACACTCCTGCAGCCCTCATAGCAAGTCTCCTCCAGACATCCCATCACTAACTCCCATCCACAATGGGAGCGAACAGTCCTTGCTCTCCATGGGCAGAAAGGAACACCCTGAGTCGATGTTCCGTAACTCCTGGTGGATGCTGATGAAGATCACCACAACCGTCTGCAATGGCACCGGAGCTGTGGGTGCTGCACATCTGTGTGACCGAACTACCTGCCGTTCCTCAGCCACCATCAGCACCAGACACCTAGAAGGCGCTGCCTCCATGTCAGCCCACATCTGTGCCCAGACCCAGAATTCAGCGTCTGTACGTTTCACCCGTAGAATCTACTCACACACAAGCATGAGAGAGCAATGGAGACATCAGGAGAGTTGGGCAGGGGTCGGGGGAGACAAGGGTGGTGGTTACAGAGCACAGCCCACAGCCATGCCATCATCAGGACTTCCTCAGACACCCAGTGCGGCCAGGTTTTCCTGGACTGTGCCCTCTCTCTCTTCCTCCACACAGCAACTACCTCGCTCATTTCTCTCTCCTCTTTCCTCCAAAATCTCAGCTTTAAATCTCTCTCCTTTTTGCTACCAGTTGGCATCAGCCACGGTTTCATATCCAGACCTTTAGAAGGCTCAGCTCATGAGGGGTCCCTCATCTAGCAGAGCCCCGTCTTCCCTGAAGGCTGCTTGGCCACCACCTCTGTCACTCAGGCATGGCATTCAGTGTCTCACTCCTTCCCTCAAGCTGCTTGCAAGCAGAGGTCCCAAAGAGGAAGTAGCATTCTCCCCAAGAAAGATTCAAAGGGTGACATGTTCACCACCCCCCTCCATCTGCAGTCACCTCCTCGCTGAGTTTTTGTCATGGAATGCCAGGGGACATACTGTCCACTTTCCAGCATCCCTGCCTGATCTTCAATCCACACGGCCATCGGGACATCCCTGCTCACTGTCTAGGAGCCAAGTGACTTGTGACCAAGCCCCGGTCTCCGGACCAGGAAGGACAGCCCATATGAAACAGCTTCCAGAATTATAAGAAGTTATTTGGAATGCAATCCTTCTCAGCGGAACTCCTCACCAGAGCAGACCCAGGAAAGCCAGTGGGGAGGGCTACCCCAGGGAAAGGCCCACATGTATCTGGAGCATGGCCTGGCCAGTGACCAATTTGTGTTTGTTCGTCTAGGACTTTTCTTGCCTTTGCCCTGAAAGATCCGTGCCCAAAGTCCCCCTCACTCCCAGGCAAACTGGACTGGTTGGTCACCGTAGGCTTGTCCCACCTGTGATCCTTGCTAAGAACCAGAGATCACAAGGCCAGTCAGTGAAGCCAAGCTCCATACGTGCAGATCGGAGAGAAAGCAGGACACGCGCAGAGATGTGACAGGATGGGCCCTGGCTGCAGACGGGGCAGGAGACAGCCTCGTCAGGAAACCGTCACAGGAGCAATGACCCAGGAGGCTGCCAGTGAGTTTCATCAGAGTGAGTGAGGGTCTGCCCATGAGCAGGACCTAGATACCACAGGGCAGGAGGGCAGAGACTCTGAGCAGTCGGAGGAAAACAACAACATCCCAAGAGGACAGCAAACACACACACACACACACACACACACACACTCTCTCTCTCTCTCTCTCTCTCTCTCTCTCTCTCTCTCTCTCTCAGAATTCCCTGAATCCCTCCCCAGCAGGCCCTCTGTGCCCCCAGACAATGGCCCACTCTGCAGACCACAGGCTCAGATGAGCATGAACCCAGCCTCTCCGCCAGGACCAGAAACAAGCACTCGCTTTTCCCCCCACCCACCCAACACCAGGGGCCTGGAGACGACCCCGGGAAACATCACATCCCTGTCAGCAAAGGGATCGTGGGCCAGGCAGCGGGCCTCCTCGCGGGAGGAGGCGGTTGAGGACTCACCAGGACTCGGCCGGTCAGTGTCTGGGCAGAGATCATCACCCCCGCCCAGTCCTTCACGGAGGTCATCCAGCCGACCTCGGCTGCCACCACCTCCTCTTTCTCGTCCGCGGGCTTGAGAGTGCCATCAGCCTGGCTGGAGCCATTGTTAATCTTCTGGGCCTCCTGGCAACAGAGAGAACAAGGGTTGAGACATGTTAAAAAGATGGCCAACCTCAAAAGGTCAAAGGGTCCTCAGTTTGGTAGGAACTGGCTTGGAGGTTCAGGGGTAGGGAGGAAGGAATGGGTTGTGATTTTAATCAGTTTTTAAATCTTTTTTAAAGAATCTTTTATTTATTCTTAAATTATTTGTGAAAGAAAAAATAACAGTACAGCTCAGGAGGAAAGGCGTCTTGACTGGGGTCTCTCTCTACCTGCCCAACCTCCGTGCCCTTCTTACGAGAGTGCCCAGTCTTTTCCTTAAGGAACCCCCATTTCCTCATCTCCATCTGAGTGGCTCAGAAGGGGCTGATAGACCCACACTGGCCCCGAGAACTAATACCGGTCAATCACATCATTCCATCCCCCCAACAGTGACTGGGTCACAGATGGTCACAGGATCCACACCAACCCCATGCAAGTCCAGCCCAGGACTTCCGCTGGGAAAAGCAGAAAAGGTAATCCTGCCCCGAGAATGAAGGTAGCACAGAAAAGGGATAAAACGCTGATATCACCATTTGAACACCTGAATCCAGCTGTGCCTGAACTCCACCCCAGACCCTTTCCCTCACCGAAGACAATAAATTCCTTTTCATGTCCTCAGAGGTGCTTGAGGAAACAAGGCTGGCGTCCTCAGACAACGGAGCTCCGCCCTGGGCCCTAAACTGAACTCTTGTGCCTGCAATGTGTCCTCTCTGCCCACAAACATCTGCTCCCACAAAGGGTCACAGCTTGCTCCCTCCTTCAAGGCTTTGCTTACATATCACCTTTCCAATAAAGGTCTTCTCTGGCTAGCCTTTTAAAACTACAACCCTGCCTTCCCTACAGCACAGCCGTTCTGCTTTATTTTTCTCCACAGCGTCAAAACCTCTAATACACTCTATAATTCACTTACTTCATTTACTATCTGCCTTCCCCAACTGTTGTACATTAATGCTCAATAAACATGCAGGCAGGCAGGCAGGCAGGAAGGAAGGAAGGAAGGAAGGAAGGAAGGAAGGAAGGAAGAAAGGAAGGAAGGGCATTGATATCGTATTAGTGAGTGCTTCCCTGCCTACCCCATTGAAAACGACAGCCACCCCACCCTGATCACTCACATCTACGCTCTTGTCTCCTCAGAGCGTTCATACCACCATCTGGAAGCTGCACACTTTAGCTTTCATTCACTGCCTGTAACCTCAACGAGAGAACACAATTGTCTCCTGTTCACTGCTGTGTCCTCAACACTGACACGTTATGAGCTCAGAGTAAGCACTTGACACATCTTAGTGAAAGTTGGGAGAGAGGGAGGGAGGGAGAAAAGGAGGGAGGGAGGAAAGGAGGGAGATCAACTCTTGGCCGGCACAACCCCTAGAATGAGTGATTATCAATAAGCAGTGATGATAACAGCACTGGCTGCCATTTCTAAGCAGCAGCACAGGAACTGTGAGGAGGTAAGAGCTCACTCAATGGCCATGAGGATTAAGTAGCTGGCTCAGGAGGCTCAGCCGGAATTTAAAGCCAGCTGTCTGACACCAAGAAGAGACAAGTACCTGTCCTGACATTCTCCCGGGGACGGCAGGAGGAGCAAACGGGATAATGTGTGTGGAGGACGGGCTGCTGTGAGTGCCCATGGGAAGTTTAGTACCATAAACCTCAGGCACTCAATTCACCCCACGCAGTCTGGGTATCTCATGTACCACAAAGGCCCTTCGTCAAGGTCCCCGGGCCTTGAGAGGGCGGTTACATCAAGGACAGAGAATCACTGTTTCTTTCTCTGCCAAGAACCAGCTCAGAACTATAAATCACCCTTCCTGGAGCAGAGCATCGAGCTGGAAATGAACGTGGCCAAGTAGACAGGCCGTGAAGCCCTCCTGCTGAGCACGGAGGTCCCCCATGCAGATGCCAGCCAAGGAGAAGAGGCAGCCCCCCTGGGTGCTGCCCACATCCCAGGGGCTATATCGCCTGCCCTCTTGGCCCACCACCCTGAGAGTCTGCTAGGAACAGCCCCGCCCCCCTCCGCCAATCCCTCTGGGGCAGAGAAGAGACCACCAGGGACACTTCCATCTCTGGAAGCCCATGCCTGGACCCTCCACTTTATGGCCTTAGTACCACCAAACATACGGGGTGCTCCATTTCCAGAGGGCTGTTGGGGGGAAAAAGGACCCAGGAAATCTCCACCTGTCCTCTTCTTGTGTCTTATTTTGTCCTGGTTGAGGTCAGAAAGCCATTCCCCCTGAGTCTGCACTGACAGATTCTGCTTCTGAGTTACTGTCTTCTTTCTTCCTGGAACCCCCATCCTCATTCCACCCCCTTGCCCTGCCCTCTCTCATCTGTCACAACTGACCCAGCAGCCCCGCATGCGGCTGCCCAGAGCTCAGTACCAAGCAGCAGAGCCTTGCTCTCCTATCGGAGGGATGGCAGAGGTGGAGAGCTCTGGGCTGGCCTGTCTCCGTTCTTCAAGCACTGGCTCCTCATCCCGGTCTGGGTGGCTGCCCCCGCTCTGATCTGCGCTGCGCAGTTCCCACCCAGGGAAGGTTTGTGCTAAACCACTTCTCTGTGACGGGGTTTCTGTGGGAGGGGGGAAAAAATGAATTTGAAATCCATTAAGTACAAATCCATAGGCCCAGTTCGGCTCTGAGAAGATGCTTTATTTCCTGGCAATGGTGATGACATTCTGAGGCACAGCTGGCCTAGGACAGAAATGCCTGAACTGCAATACCCACAAACCACCGGGGCTTCCAGTGCCTCCAGGTGGGCCACTGTCCTGGTCCCTCTGCCCCGGGTCTTCACTGGGCCTAAAAGCTGGAGAAGGGTCCTCCAGCCACCCCCACTCCTGCCAGCAGGCCAAGAGGAAATGCTCTGGCAGCCCCTCGCACGCCCTGGCCGGGGATCCTTCAGGGTACCGAAAATCCTGCGTATTAGGGATTAGTCCGATTACCTTAAGCGGCTCAAGCAAATAAAGCATAATGTGGGCACCACCTGCTGGGATTTTCCTGTGAGAGTGCAGCAAAGGGAGAGGAGGGAGGAGGGGGCGGCTCTGACACCTAGGGGCGGGGCAAGCAGGACAGCAGAGTGAGAAGGCTCCACCCAGAGTCCTCCTAAGGTTCTCTCTGCTAGGAGCTCCCTGAGCTGCTGCAAGAACAACTGCCCTTCATCAGTCTTTGAGCAAGGAAAAAGGTGACAGCGGAAAAGGCCAGCTGACCTTTAACAAGTCGCTTACCATCTTCGCTGTGCCTCAGGTTTCCTTGTCTCAAATTCAAGGGGCTGTGCAAACACTCCCCAAGGCTCTGTCCAGCCTGACCTTGAGGTCTGAAGTGTAAGTCCCTCACTAACACGTGTCTGGCGGTGTGAAATGCTCGGGGCGGGCAGTGCGCCGATGGGCCACGTTCTGGGCCACGTTCTCTGCTTGGTGCTTTAGCACCATCTTACACGTCTGAAAGGCAGCACTGCTAGGAGGCCCACAGACTTCTGGTCATATCCAAGGTCACTCATCTTGTTGGTGGCAGAGATGAAATTTAAACCCAGTCTATTCTGAGACTGAAGGCCATGTTTTTCTTCTGTCCCTTACTGCCTTGGGATAGGCAAAAAGTGCAAGAAGAGAAGGGATCTCCTTATGAAATGCTGCTGCTTACTGCCACTGAAGCAATCACCCTATGGGCTTCTAAGTAACTCTGCACTACAGCCATCTCAATCTGGATAGCCAGGAATGGGCAGGGAGCTGGAGAAATGGCCTAGGCGTCTTCAAACTACGGCCCGTGGGCCACATGCGGCCCGCAGAGGAGTCTGATCCGGCCCGCCAGGTTTTTTGGGCAGTGAGCGCAGCCGAGGTGTTACAGTAGGAATTAGTAGTTCATATAGTCCGGCCCTCCAGCTCTCTGAGGGACTGTGATCTGGCCCCCACTTTAAAAAGTTTGAGGACGCCTGGAGAGGCATTGGAATGGAATGGGAGGACCCATTAGACATAATATCCATGGGAGGTGTTCATCAATGGCCACATGTCAACCCCACACTTTCAGAATCAACACATACATCTCAGTTAATACCTCACATCTGCCCAGCCTGTGTGGCTCAGTGGTTGAGCATCAACCTATAAACCAGGAGGTCACTGTTCAATTCCCATTTGGGGCATATGTCCGGCTCTCGGGCTTTATCCCCAATGTGGGGCATGCAGGAGGCAGCCCATCAATGATTCTCTCTCATCATTGATGTTTCTACCTCTCCCTCTCCCTTCCTCTCTGAAATCAGTAAAAATATATTAAAAAAAAAAAAAATACCTCACCTCTGCAAAATTATTTCCTTTTCCTTCAATCAGCTTAGTGAAACGGCAACATAAAATGAGAATCCAGAGTTCATATCAGGGCCTTAGAGACTTAGAATGGGACTAGCAGAGACCTCAGCGCTGCTCCCTCAGCCATCGTTGCCTGGGCTGGGCCCTGTCAGCCTGCTCACCGGTGAAGATGCCGTGGCTCTGCTGCTTGTCTGCAGGGCAGCCTGACCTGCCCGCAGAGAGCAGCTCAGAAACCGCCCAGGCAAGAAAACCATCACAGCGGACTGGTCGGGAGACAAACAGCACACGTGTTTTCCAGTGGAGCAATAACTTGTAATCGCACCAGGCAAGTGTGAGGCAGGGCCGGAAGGTCAGGTGGATTACTAATGGGTATATTTTTCTGAATGCCCTGTGTTATCTTGGTTAATCCTGTCCACAGTACCACACATTAGGCTCCATTATCCCCATTCTGAAGATGGACAACTGAGGCAGGAAGGTTTTCTGAAGATCCATGGTTAGCCCGTGGCTTTCCTGAGGCCCCGGGAGCTCCATACCAGTCCCTTTCCTTGTCGATAGAACTTTTCATGGAAAGGTGATTTAGTATAACTTCTTGTTTCAAGGAGAGCACTCAAACCCTTCCAAAAGAAGTTTTTAAAAAAGAAAATGAATTTCAGAGTCACAGATCTGTTGAGGTCAGAGCTGTAAGAGGCCTAAGAAC